GATGGGAGTATGCCTTCGTCTTGTTTGTGGAGAGAGTGAAACCGAGCTCAATACATTTCCTTCCGAGGAGTTCAATGGACTGTTCAATTTTTCCCAAGGTGGGAGCTTGTATTAGGACATCATCTGCATATCCCACTTGTTGTGTTCCTTCCGGAAAATCAATATTTGCAATGGCGTTCATAAGTACATTGAATAGTGTAGGGCTTAAGACTCCGCCTTGGGGGGTCCCGAGTTCCATACTCATTGTTCTGGAGACTGCTCCATTGAAGCAAACCTTGGCTTCCCTTCCTGTGAGGTAGTCTTCAACCCATTTCATGAGTCTCCCCTTGACACCCATGCATGCAAGCTCGTCCAGGATCGCAATCCCCTGTGCTTTGTCGAAGGCTCCTTTGATGTCAACAAATACAGAGTACCTAGCCGTGTCATTAACCAAGTAATTAACTATACAATTTGCTGTGCTCCGTCCTTTAACAAATCCATTGACCCCCTCCCCTAACCTGCCTATTTTGTGCAACAGTCGGTTTAGGATGATCCTTTCAAGCATCTTGCAAGTGCATGACACGAGGCTGATAGGTCTGTAATTACCAGGGTCATTAGGCTTCGTTATGGGAATAATTATTGCGTGTTTCCATTGTGTGGGCAACACTCCACTTAGGAATGACTTGTTAAACAGGTGGAGTAGTGGATTCCCAGACACTGCACACAGTGCATTGAGTATGTCGTAGGTGACGCCATCTTCACCAGGTGCTGTACTTTTACCCTTTTTCATAGCGCCCCTTACTTCTTGGGCTGTGATTGGTTCCCCATACTCGTCATCACTAGACAGTGCTCTTGTTATCCTAATTCTTCTGTCATCATGTCGCAGGAGCTGTTCCCTGCTGATTTCTGCAGGGAGGGAGGAGGAGGATGCTGCATCACTCCACTTGTGAATTAGTTCCTCAGCCTTACCCTGGGGGTCTTTGTGAGCCGCAGGCCGGGCTCTGCCCCCCTTAGCTATCTGAATTTTTGCCCACACTTGTCTTGCAGATGTTTCCCGTCCAATAGAGCTAGTGAACTCAAGCCATTGTCTTTCCCGCTCTTTAATCTTCTCTTCCCTGGCTACTTGACACACTGTCTTAAACAACTCTTGGTTACTTTCAGTGGGATGTCTCCGGTACTCTCTACTCATGTCTCGCACATTTGCGTTAAGCATCTTTATGTAATCATTCTCATACCATTTTATTTTCTTCCTCTGAGGGTTACTTCGCCCAGGCGTACGGCGCGGAACTCTTAGACAGCTCTCAATTTGGTGGTTAAGGTCATCAACAAATGTGTTAATGTCTTCTGGGATTTGGTATTCCGTGAACCAGTCACTCATCCTGTTTATGAAGTGCGGCCTCATATCTGGTCCGAGTGATAACCTTTTTCTTTTATTTGTCTCTTTCCTTCTCTTGCTCATGTCGACGGTGGTAATCAGTGCCCAATGGTCACTACATAAACTGTGCACAATGTGTGTACTGGCATCCGTGTCCTGTGCATTCAGCAGGAGAGCATAATCTAATCTTCCTCCTCTGAGGTGAGTTGGCTGTTCATCACCCAGGACCCTAAGGTTTTCACTTCCCCTGACAAAGAGTGACAGTTTCCGTCCATTGACATTGGGCTGATGACAGTTGGCACCAAAGTGTGGGTGTCTGGCATTCAGGTCACCAACCAGCAGGGTAGGTTCTTCATTAACAAACTCAGGCAGTGCGTCAAGGTCAAGTTTACTCTGTGGCACATATAGGTTGATTATATGTAGGGCATTATTGTTTAAGTAAAGGGTTACTCCCAGTGATTCAAACTCATCCCCCATTTGCAGGTCATCAATAATCTGTGCGGGAATGTTGTTATTTACAAAAGTGATGAGACCCCGTTTTCTTCCCCCATGTGGCAGGGAGAACTTGCGATAACCGCTGAACCTTGGGTTGAAGTCATCACTTACCATTGTCTCCTGTAGCACTATGACGTCAGTTTGGTGTTCACGAGCGTATTGTATGATGTCATTAATTCTATTGCGAACGCCATTGCAGTTCCATTGTAGGATAGTGAGACTTTCTTCAGCGTGGTTATCCATTGTGGAGGTGTTGGTCATCAGATGTACTGTGTGTGGTGTTGTTGCTGGTGAGAGTGTGTTCACTGGTGGTGTTGTATGTGGTGTTGCACCACCGTCATGTGCTGGTGGTACTGTTTGTATGCCAGTGCCAGTGGTCAGTGGTGTTGTGTACACTAGTGTCGTTGTGTTCACTGGTGGTGCTGTTGTCTTCACTGGTGGTGTTGCGTTCACTGGTGGTGCTGTTGGTGGTGTTGTGTTCACTGGTGGTGTTGTGTTCACTGGTGGTGCTGTTGGTGGTGTTGTGTTCACTGGTGGTGCTGTTGTGTTCACTGGTGGTGGTGTGTTCACTGGGTCGCACTGAGTTCACTTGGGTAGCACTGAGTCTGCTGTTATGTGCCGTGGCTCGTGTTGCATCCCCATGCACCCTACTGATGTTAGCTCAACTTCAAATAAATTTACGTATGATATAATATTTAAGTCCAGGTGGTACAGTCGGATTCGTTCTCGACTCACAATCGCAAATTCTGGGCTCGAATCCCGGGTCTCTGTTCATCTAGCAGTAAATCAGTAGGTACCCAGGAGTTAGTGAACTGTTGTAGTGTTACATCCTGGTGGAGGGTCAGTAGTTTGACCTTGGTGGAGGGGGGGGGGGGGACCTCGCTGTATAAATACACTGGCTGCTTGTCCCAAAAGACAATGAAATATTAGCATTATATTAGTAAAATTGTACTTACCGTATAACTGGGCTGGACGGTAGAGCGGTCTCGCTTCATGCAGGTCGGCGTTCAATCCCCGACCGTCCAAGTGGTTGGGCACCATTCCTTCCCCCCGTCCCATCGCTAATCCGTATCCTGACCCCTTCCCAGTGCTATATATATATATATATTCGTATTGGCTTGGCGCTTTCCCCTGAAAGTTCCATCCCTCCCTCGGGGGGGGGGGGGGCGTAGAAATAGCCTAAGTTACTCTATCCCTTACAGATGTATGTTATTGTCTCAATAAATATACTTGAACTTCAGCTACCTTCACTCTACCTCACTAATGACACCCTTCCCTCACAACTCACCGGCTGTGTGTGGCGGGAGGCCTCAGGAGTGGTGTGGGGTGGTACAGTCAGTGGCTGGTGCGACTATTCTCCAGGAAATAGTTCGGATAAAACGCGCCATTCAACCCGTGTTTGTTGACAAGTCCCACATGGCCAGTGTCTCTTTTACCCTCGTATTCCTCAACGGCTTGGGAGTTAACTTTACATTAAATGCACAATCTTTTCTACCAACTATTTGTATAATTCATTTAATATTAAATATACTATGGAAAAAGTTATGCAGCTAGTTAAATTAGTATTCTTCAACTTTTGATATATATATATTACGAGCCTAATATATTTGTCTCAAAGCAGTTGAAAGACGTCACTAATTTGTACAATAATACGAATGTAAAAGTTGAATCATGTTGGCTTTATACACATACTTATGGCTTCCCACAGGAAATATCATTCACTTCATGTAGACAAATGTGTATTTGTAAATTGTGAAAGCCTTTGATAAAACATGCACAGTATATAAATACTGGCTAACCATTATTATAATTGGATTAAGAGGTTACACAAAATTCACGTATTTGTTAAAGACAAAGCTTCATTTTCCTTCTTAGATGCGCCATTAACCTCGTTGTTACGACATCAGAACAATTAGTATTAATCTAGGGTGTTTTATTTGTCGAAGAAAACGATGTATCTCAAGACAGCGAGGTAAACTCGCATTTCTTTCAATCCTGTATAATCAAATCACAAGAATGTGAAAATATTAGGGCCATGTAATGGGATTGAATCCGCATCCCCGGTGGGAGTCTTACCTCATTGTTTAGAGAGAACTAGGTGCAACTGGTTCTAACCCTTGGGTTAGGACATTTTGACTCATTTCCTGACTATTAATTGCAAGATTTGTTGAGTATTAAACGAATCTCATTTGAAAGAGGCCTAACAGAGGCAGACCATGTTGAGCTGGGTTGGCCCAAGTATTACATTCAAAATCACTCGACAGTACTTACCTATGAGAGTGCGATTTGATCCACTGGCTCAGTAAGGATTGTAATGTTTCATAGAACACTATCATCTCTACCATCAAGTTTTACCAGAAAACTGCTAGAGATTCTTGGGGTTAAGGGCCAAGATTCACCAAGCATTTAAACGTGTCCAATTACAGAACACGTACATCTTTCCTCAGTCTTGGTAGCTTAAGTTTGTATTTATTAAGCAGTTTATGAGCTCCGAACCACTACGAGATTGTCTGTAATATTAATCATAAGTCGAGAATGAATGCCCTCGAAGCGTTTCCAAGCTCATTAATATATTCAGACTTTGTTGCCATGATCGAGGTAAGATGTGCAAGTGAAGGGAATTTTCAGGGGAAAGCGTCAATCCATTATAAATAGCACTTGGAAGGGGTCAGGATAAGGATTTGTGATGGGACGGGGGGAAAAGGAATGGTGTCTAACCACTTACTTGGAGGGTCGGGGATTGAACGCTTACCTGCATGAAGCGAGACCGTCGCTGTATCGTCCAGCCCAATTTGAAAGGATGTGTAAGTGAATAATTAAGTCCTTGCTGAGTCCTGCCGCCACCATTCAATGGACAATTTCTTATGACTGAATCGAGAACAATTCATGTTGATCAGAGAAGCTACACAGCTCAAACACTTTAAACTCTACTAAGGAATGGTTATTAACACTAAAGCTGGGTTATGGTAACGAGGCATTTTAAAAGTTCAATCATGAGTTGGTAATTAATAAACAGTTTAAAATTGGGAGCACAGGTTTTATATTTTATTTATATTGTTTTGTCAATACAAATACAGAACTTTATTTACAAAGTCATTCAGACTTGATCAAGGTTAATAGTAATAAGATTAGTCAATAATACTAATGTACATCTGGTCCACATTTTATTGGCTCAAACAAACATCTTCTTTCTCTTATCTAAACTATATTACAGTCATCATGATAGAAAACAGCACACAGAACACTTACACAATTACTCAACCATTCATGAGTCTCAAATGAGTAAAAAGACCCAAATATCAAATAGAAACCCTAAGGTATTCACAAGGCCCATCCTCTGCACATAGTCAGGGTAGTGAAACGTCATTATTATAGTATAGTTTGTAATACCCGAGTATACGAGTGGTAGCTGTGAAGGTGTCAAGCTTCATATCTGACACTCGTGTCAGTATACGAGTGACAGCTGTAAAGGTGTCACGCTTCATATCTGTCACTCGTGTCAGTATACGAGTGACAGCTGTAAAGGTGTCACGCTTCATATCTGTCACTCGTGTCAGCATAATAACGACAACTGTGAAGATGCCACTCCTCATATCAGAATATACTAAGATTTGGCACAAAACTGTTTTCAAAAATTGCACAAAGTGGGAGGCTGACTAGAAAATAGAACATGTGTCACATGAGCGAAAAGTGATCAAGATGTTTTCTAAAAAGACTTACAGATGGGAGTACAAAAATTAAATATATGCCAAGATCCACAATGACTGACCGTTGGACATGTTATACTAATAGAGCTGTCTATTTAGTATGCCTTTGATATCAAGTAATATATATTAATTACCAAAAGATTGGGTAGTAGATAAAGTAAGAAGTTTAACAAGAGGCAAAAAGAGACAAAATAGATTAAGACGACAATTTTTTCCCCCTTTTTTTACATTTTGGACGAAATAGGCACCGTTATTGGTGTCTTTTTTTTTAATATTATTTTACATGCCAATGCCATTATTAAAAGTTGCACTTTTATATATATATTACACTTCTCTTAATCAATAGGATCAGTACCATATTATTAAGGAACATTTGCATATTATTTACATTATTAACAAGGACTTATAAATTATGACCACGGAGTACTCTGTGTCACCAAGCATAAATTGGTTTCGTCCAATATGTCAACTTGAATCTTGCATATGTTTATTGTAGATGAAATAGTAGAAATCTTATGTACCATAATGATTATCTATGCTGAATATAAATGCTTTGCATTTATATACAAATATTAAATAATGCTGTATTCGTTTTGAAATACTGTACCTATGAAAGAGGAAAATGTATAACGAAGCTCTGTAAATTCTTAGGAGCAAAAATGTATATTACTAGGTGAATACTATTTGAATAATTTGGTAAGACAATAAATGCTACCAGAAATAAATGGCATGGAAATACCAACACTTTTTTTATTTTTAACCCTGAAATGAAATTAAGAGTTGTTTGGCTTTTGTGTACATAATCAGTCACTTGCTTTTGTAACATTATGTATATAACAAAATATTTAGAAACTATCACTCATTTTTAAATATATTTTATTTGTTTGTATACTGAATGTTGCACCATAACATTTGGAGTGGAGAAAGATGCAGTGTGATATGTCTCCATATTCTCACCTGTTATTGCTCAATGATTATCTTCAACACTGTGTTTATGGTACTCTCATAACCCACTGCTTAAAAATCATATATTTACTTATTTTGATGAAATTTTACCTTTCAAAATATAGTTAGAAGAACGAAGCCTTGCAGTTGGCCAACTGAAATGTGAAGTCTTCCCGAGATGGCCAACTCTACCATGAAGTCTTCTTGGTGGCTAACTGTTCCCTAAATATTTCCATTTTGGCCACTTGTACTATGAAGCCTTCCGGTTGCTCCATTGTACTTTAAAGCCTTCCAGCTGGCCAAAAATACTGATACCTTCCAGCTGACAAACTGTACTAAGAAGCCTTCCAGCTGGCCAACAGTACCATTATACCTTCCAGCTGGCCAACAGTACCATTATACCTTCCAGCTGGCCAACAGTACCATTATACCTTCCAGCTGGCCAACAGTACCATTATACCTTCCAGTTGGCCAACAGTACCATTATACCTTCCAGCTGGCCAACAGTACCATTATACCTTCCAGCTGGCCAACAGTACCATTATACCTTCCAGCTGGCCAACAGTACCATTATACCTTCCAGCTGGCCAACAGTACCATTATACCTTCCAGCTGGCCAACAGTACCATTATACCTTCCAGCTGGTCAGCTATATTATAAAGCCTTCCAGCTGACCAAAGTGTACCATGATCCCTTCCAGCTGGTCAACTATATTATAAAGCCTTCCAGCTAGCCAACTATACTATGAAGCCTTCCAGCTGGCCAACTATACTATGAAGCCTTCCAGCTGGCCAACTATACTATGAAGCCTTCCAGCCGGCCAACTGTACCATTTCAGCTGGTGAACTATACCATAAATATTTCCAGTCGGCACATTGTGTCAATATCTTCCAGCTCGCACACTGTACCTTGAGTCTCCAGCTGAAAATGGAGCTTTACCATTAGTTTACTGAACAACAACAAAAATCTTTTGGAGAAGTAATCATTAAGGAAACCTAAATTTTATAAATGAGTGACGTTTACATTTGTAATCTACAAGTTGCTGCAGAGAATGGTGAAGGCAAAGTTACAGTACACCTTTGTAACACAAACTTTAAATATGTCACGTAGTTGTATGTTAAAAACCATAATGTGCGGAGATGGAGAATGTTTTAAGTAAATTAACCCACTATTAAAATTTAATATAAATACCAACATAAATAACATGTTGTTTATAATAAAATCAATATGAAGTTTATAATAAAGTCAATATGCTGTTTGGTGAGCATTATTTATAATTTGTATTCAATAAAATATATGGACAAAATATACCGTTGCTTTTTTATATATATATTTGCCCATAAAAAAAAAAAACTTTCCTATTTGGTGCTCTACATTCGTTTATATTCACATAATAATATTAAGAGAAAATATATAAACTACATTTTCAGTATGATCAAAATCGACTAGAATAGTTTGTGTCAAGTGATGCAAGTTAAGAACAACACCCATCACCAAACTGACAATATATTATATATATATATATATATATATATATATATATATATATATATATATATATATATATATATATATATATATATATATATATATATATATATATATATATATATATATATATATATATATATATATATATATATATGCAAGAAATGTGCCACACTGCTCCTGGTTACCACAATGTGTTTGTGCGCAGAGTACTCAAGGCATACACATTCGTGTGTGTAGATATAAAATGCACCTCTCTGTACAGTATGTAACACTATAGTGTCCATAGGAAGGACATTATTAACCGCAAAACTATGCATAGTAACCATGCAACACTCTCCTCCTTGGACAGGATATAAAGAGCATACACCATGTGATGGGAGGCAAAAAAATATATATCACTATATCTTGGTAATATAGTTCGAATAAATAAGTTGAACTGAAACAACAACTTAAGATTTTATATCTTAAGTTATTAACAGCTTGGGATAAAATGTTTTATTTTTAAGTAAATCAATAAATTGCAGTGATTTCAAAGTTCAGTCTCTAGTAGAAACTTGATAACTCAAAAATGTGCAAAAGTAGAAAAAAATGATCAAGTAACAACTATAGAATAATTCTAAAAACAGAATGTAACAAAATATTGTACTGTACACAGTACTCCTTTTTGGTTTTTTACAGATTCAGTAAATGTTGAATGCTTCGAAATCAACTTCTATATACAAATTTGTAGCTCAAGACGTTTGCTGTACATAATAAAACGTTGCGTTTACTGCACTCGTGAAACTTTCAATATCAAAATCTACAACTTTGTTGACACTTAACAAAACTGTATAATAAGGGCGATTGAATACAGTATGGTGTAAAAAGAATCACTTGGATTTTTTTAATGGAATTTACAGTTCTCGTCACATTTTGGCCATTTTGTATCTATTGAATCTTTTATGAACAACCCTCAGCACTAACCTATGGCAGTAGTCTAAACTAAAAAACATTTGACCAAACTTAAACAACAAGTCCATAATATTGTCATTGTTAAGAAAAATACACCAAGCAATATTTGTTGCTATTCTGGTCTATATATTTATGACTATCGCTTGTATTGCTGATTGATGTGATAACACTGGAAACTTTGAGCCTTAAATATAAATTTAAAAAGTTATTTCATTTCTAGGCTGTTTGATTGAATGCTGAAAATCCCTTGCAGAACATCCGAGCAAACCCCCATCTACACGAGAATCTTTGATTGGCTGTCTTTTTCAACACTGTATCACAACTTTACGAGTCAAAGTCCTTGCTCTCTCGACCAAGTTGCCACTAAGCAGCTTCAGTGGCAGAGAACTTTAAGAAGTCGTTTTCAAGTTATATTGAAGACTCAAAACCTGACTAAACCACATCCCAGTCCACTCACGGCGCTACTAGGGAAAAACTGGAATCAGCCTACTTTGATCCATCTGTCTATGGAGTATTCTAAGGCTGCTAACCATCTGTAACAGAAAAATAATAATATGATAATAACAATAATAACAATAATAATAATAATATCATTATTATTATTATTAATACAGTAATAAAACTGAAAAATATATATCACTAGTAATAACGAAACTTCAATAATATTGTGGTTATGGAGTAATACACCTAGAAAAAACATCCTAAATTAAGGGAATAGCGACAATTGCCTCAATTATCAATTACAATTGCATCAATTATCAATTACAATTGCATCAATTATCAATTACAATTGCATCAATTATCAATTACAATTGCATCATTTACAAAAATCAAAGAGCAACAATTATTCAAACTGGAAATTTAATAATAATAATAATATAAATGGAGATCACTCTCTTAACTGCATTTGCAGTTTCAAATGCTAAATGACACAAATTGCGTTATTTGCATAAGATAACAATATATATATCTGAAGTGATTTGTGATGTTCAATGCAAACATTTAGTTCTAGAACAACATTTAAAAAGAGTCATTCGGTCTATCTGCACAATGAAATCACAAGAATGGGTACCTATGAGGTAACAGTGAGGCAATACAATGGGATCGAGCATTCATCTTCTCCCCTGGCCAGGCACACATACACCACCGACTGGACCATGATGAGCTGGTCATGGCTCAATCAGTAGTGTGTGGGTGTGTGTGTGCCAGAGAACTCCAGGGATAGGAACTCGAGTCCACTGTGAGGCCTCAGTATTACCTGCAGCTGATTTGACGCCTCCCTCTCTTCTCCTTATTCTCCTTATTATCATTCTCCTTCTCCCAACTCTTCTCTCACTTTTTTGCTGATGTCTTGTTCACACACACACACACACACACACACACACACACACACACACACACACACACAAAATAATACAGTACCTAATTTGGACAATCTGAATGTTCATCTACGTCATATTAATCCCTGAACAAAAAATAGTTGACGACAATACGAGCCTCCCTTAACAGCACCTTACTAACCTCTTTTTGTCACTGTCCGATTCTGTGTAAAAGTAGAAATGTCTAAATTTGGGTACAGGAGGCAGGAGTTCGAAGGCGTGTTTTTTTCCACCTATGCTGGTGCTCTGTACCCTGTATCCGTGCAGGTGGACCACACCTGTCAAATTAAGTGAACCGAATTAACAACACAACTTGGCTTTTTACAGTAAAAATTTGATTCACTTTGGCCCTGAAAGAAAGCTTCTGCATTACACCGTTGGTTCGAGTCTCCTAGTGCTTGAGTGAATGAAATGTTTATTCCCATGATAGTGTGGTTGACAGTTTATACAGTGAAAAGCATTCTTTCTTTTAAAGCTTGGGGGAAATAAGTAAAACAGTATTTGCTTAGATCTCTGTCTTGTCAGGAAGATTATGTTTTACAAATAATGGAACTCGACACCAGGTCAAGACCCAGATTATAAATTCACATTTAAAACAAAGCAATAAGTTAATCTTTGTGTTTTTATATTTTCAACCCCAGACGTGGTCATACATTTATATAAAAAACTAATAAAATTTCCATTAAAAGATGTTCACAGTTTCACGAAGTATAAATACAAGTTTAGTGAGTATTTATCTTTGTCGATGAGCCAGCACACTCCTTCACTAGAGTAGGAACAGTGCCACGGGAAGTGTGTCTGATATTGTTGAGGTGCTCTGATCAAATGTAATTTAGTTTGTCTCTCCTCCCAATTGTGTAGACAAATGCACAAAGTGTTGAAAGATTTTTTGTAAATTTTTCAGTCTGCAAAAAAAAAAGCTTAAGATTTGACTCTCAGGAAAGCAAACAGAATAATCGAAATGAAATCACAAGAACATAGTACAGTATAGCAGACGAGGAGTCACAATAACGTGGCTGAAATATGTTGATCAAACCACACACTGGAAAGTGAAGGGACGACGACGTTTCGGTCTGTCCTGGACCATTCTCAAGTCGATTGTGAACCCACAATCGACTTGAGAATGGTCCAGGACGGACTGACACGTCGTCGTTCCTTCACTTTCTTTTATCTTGTACTATTGGCCCTCTCGGTACAATCACCTTGCTCCCATAACAGTGTGGTTTGGTCAACATGGTACAGTATATCTATGGGACGTCGATCTGTGTATAGCCTCAATATTTTGTTCATACTCAACTTTTTGGACCATGGAGTATGTCCTCGAGAGTAAAATAAATCAATAAATAAATAATATTTTGAAATTAAATTTCTTCACATTTGCAGCCTAGTGTTCTGATAACTTGACAAAAATTTTATATTAATAATAATTATATATTACATAACTGTTGTGAGATACATTCTTGCGAAGATACATAGCTAGCCTAGGTTAGCCTCGATAATCCTAAGAGTCTTCCTGTTCCCTATGGATACATCCTGGGAAGCCTATGTAACTTCCTCTCCCAGATGGATACATCCTGAGAAGCCTATGACACTTCCTCTCCCAGATGGATACATCCTGGGAAGCCTATGACACTTCCTCTCCCATATGGATACATCCTGGGAAGCCTATGTAACTTCCTCTCCCATATGGATACATCCTGGGAAGCCTATGTAACTTCCTCTCCCAGATGGATACATCCTGGGAAGCCTATGTAACTTCCTCTCCCAGATGGATACATCCTGGGAAGCCTATGTAACTTCCTCTCCCCCCGACTAAGGGAAAACAAACCAAGAGGACCCGTGACGTGTTACCTATAGCTTGCGTAGCATCTGTGTCATGGTAGAGGTAGAGGCAGGCATCCTTCAGAACACAGTACCGCCTCTTCCACTGGTGCCAGCGCGCTCCCAGCTTGTATAGGAACCCAAAACAGTCCGGGGAGGCTATGGACGCTGGGGCTTGTTGTACACGACGGCACGAGATCTCCATCAGTTCATCCCTCTAGAAGATTTGTTTAGAAATTTATATAAGCTAGATGAAATACAGATCCTACATATCTTAAATTTACATTTAAGTGACGTAAATGCTTCACTAGTGCTCCAGACTAAACTTTTTTAAACAGTTACGGTCTAAAAATACAACGAGACTACCTTTTAGCATCTGATCAATAGGAACCCGGGAGCTAGTCAACTGTTGTGGGTCGTATACTGAGAGCAGATGCACTCATTGGCCACAGGGACCTCCACAAGCCTAACAAAGCATCATGTTACCTGACAACGGGAACAAAGTGCGTGGTGCTACGGGTGCAACTAACCTGTGCAGCCTCCAACGCTGCCTGGGTGATGACCTGACCCCAGCGGTTGCGGGCATCCTCTGTGTGGGCAGCAAGATGCAAGGTCATGCCCCCAAACTTGGCCACAGTGAAGGAGAAGGGTTTGCCCACGTCGACCAGGGCGTGGACGCTGTAATCCAGGAGGTGGACAGCACCTAGTGGGTGTTGCTCCTGTACAGCCACAAGGTACAACTGTTTATCTTAAAGAGTTGGCGTGTGGAAACCGTGATAGAAAAGGTAGCATGACATAGAAGAGGCTCCACTTATACATTAATTTTGAGAAACAAACGGCGAAGCTAAGAGCGTTTCAGAGCACAACTACAACTTTATGAATGGTATATAAATATCTAACCAACATAACTACACAACGCTAATTAAATTCCGTCAAAGCAAATCAGTTCTATTTCCACCATGTATATTTATTTTACTAATACTTTTAATCAGGGAAAATGGTAACGAGAATCTTTGACTAACCATTTCTGACTTGTAATAATAAAGGCAGTGGTCTTTCTTGAGAGCAAACCAGCGTCTGCGCCACTTTCTGACGATGGTGGAGGAGCCGGGGGTGTGGTGGGCGCCCCCGAGCTTGTAGAGGTAGCCAGCACACAGGGGAGTGGGGTCATGGGTCACCAGGGGGGTCAAGACGTCGCACGTCCTCGCCACCTCCAGGCGAAGGGTATCGCAACCTGCAGGAGAGTAACACTGAAGGCTCTGTATCACCTGTGTCGTGGTGTCTCATCAACACATTAACATAGTCAACATTATGTTCAATCCTCCAGAACCTATACTGAAAGTTGAAGACTATACTGACTGTTGCAGAGACTATACTGAATGTTCCAGAGACTATACTGAATGTTCCAGAGACTATACTAAATGTTCCAGAGACTATACTGAATGTTCCAGAGACTATACCGAATGTTCCAGACAATACTGAATGGTCCAGACTATACTGAATGTTCCAGAGACTATACTGAATGTTCCAGAGACTATACTGAATGTTCCAGAGACTATATCGAATGTTCCAGACAATACTGAATGTTCCAGAGACTACACTGAATGTACCAAATATTATACCAAATGTTCCAAAGACTATACCGAATGTTCCAGACTATACCGAATGTTCCAAAGACTATACCAAATGTTCCAAAGACTATACTGAATGTTCCAGGGACAATACTGAATGTTCCAGAGACTATACTGAATGTACCAAATATTATACCAAATGTTCCAAAGACTATACCGAATGTTCCAGACTATACCGAATGTTCCAAACCTATACCAAATGTTCCAGACTATACTGAATGTTCCAGGGACTACAACCGCAATAGGCTACAACGCCCGCTAACCTACACGGACCATATTCCAGGCCCGCCAGCACTAAGCCGAAGGCGCACTCACCGGCGTGAGCGAGTCTGACCACCTCCGAGTGGGAGGCGTCCAGGACGTTGGCACCGTTGATGTTGATGATGATGTCCCCGACCTCCAGGCCCGACGTCTCGGCCGGGGTGTCGGGTTCGATGGCCGACACGACCACCGGCCGGGAACCGTGGATCCGGAACCCGAACTCTCCCGACTCCCTGCTTACAGTGACCGTCTTATCCGACTCTGCAGCCACAGATAATAAATAAATAAATAAAATAATATATATATATATATATATATATATATATATATATATATATATATATATATATATATATATATATATATGACATATATATAGAGTTATGTTTCCTTATGACTAACTAACAACATATAGTTTTACAATTAAACCATTTCAAACCATATGAACACTATTGCAGTTAAAACTTTACATTTAATTTTATTTACGACTATCTTTTTTTCTCAAAGGATGAGGCTTGATACGTTGAAAATAATTTACAGTACAAGACGTCAAATACACTCGCCCTCCAGACAAAATTAAAAACTGAAACATTTTGTTAGAAATCTATAAACAATATTTAATAATTTTACAGCAATATGGAACAGGAATATACAAAAAAACAGAAGGCCTTATGAGTCAAATATCTGACAAAAACACATAAGTTAAATAGTATAACAATGAATATATATATATATATTATATATATATATATATATATATATATATATATATATATATATATATATATATATATATATATATATATATATATATATATATATATATATATATATCAGTAATCACATGCATTTGCAGCTTCAACAGTTACTTCATGCGATACGTTTCAAGGGAAGAATGTAAAGAGAAGACATGCGCAACAAATTATATACAGAATGTATGACTGTACACTGGAATAATGTATGACTACATTGGTACGAGTGTTGACTGTGTGCCAGCAGTGTATGACAACACTGGAAAATTGGGACAATACACCTGGCAGATTTAAGCCGGCACACCTTGGCGCCAGCTCTACATAGGTTCTTGCTGCTACACCTTGGCGCCAGCTCTACATAAATTCTAAAATATTAAAGTCAAATTTTGAAGCAATAATCGTCATGGTCTCTTGCTCTTATGGCAGTAATAAAGTCAAATTAACGAGCTGTGACAGGCAGCAATAAAGCAAAGAGTTTCGTGTTGTGGTAAAGCGAGAGGTATCGTACTGATGCCCAGCAGCAGTAAAGCAAAGGCTCCATGCCTTTCCATGCTTATATCGTAAGATAAATAAAGCCTAGGTATCGTGCTGTTGTTGGCAGCAATAAAACCAAGTTCTCGCGCTGTGGTGGAAGAAATAAAGGCAAATTCTCGCGATGTGGTGGGAGAAATAAAGTCAAATTCTCGCGTTGTGGTGGAAGAAATAAAGGCAAATTCTCGTGATGTGGTGGGAGAAATAAAGTCAAATTCTCGCGTTGTGGTGGAAGAAATAAAGGCAAATTCTCGCGCTTGGGTGGGAGAAATAAAGCCAAGTACAGGCTAGACAGCGGTCCTCAGAGCCGGCTGTGTCTGGCTGCTCTAAACATGCCGTCCCACTTAGCATGGCATTTTATCCTATTTTTCCCCCCTGTTGATACTGGCAGCTGAAGGTGAGTACCAACCGCACTATCGGTTGAATCTGTTCTAATTGAAAGTCATCAGTCATGAATTATTTTGCCGTTAGAGCAATATTTTTTGGTGATATAAAATTATAGAACATTGTAGGTATTCATATAGTAAGGTTGGTAGAGCCTTCCGCTCCAGTGGTCGTAGGTTCGAGGCTCTGGTAGTAAAGGTACCTGAGCTGAGAATGATTTAACATAGGAAGAGTTCAATAATGATACGAATTTGATAACTGGGTTACTAGGCTCCACACTGACAGCACGTCGGAAATCGAGGTACAAACTCATACTAGAGGTTTATCGTTCATTAGGCTACGCTATGAGTTCTTGAGGTAGGGTTAGGTTAGGCCAAGCTAGATTATTAGTTAGAGTAGGGGGGCTTAATGAGGTTAGGTTAAGTTAGGGAAAGTGGGAAGGGGGGGGGTGATAAGGTTTATATAAAATATGCAGCATGCAGCTACATTAAACGGTCGCGAATTTGAGCAGACAACACTAATACTGCGTGTCCTTTTGACGCAGTAGTTTTATTATTATTATTATTTTTCTGGACGCCGGTGATGTATACACTCCACACATGGATCGTGACCCCATAATGTGGGCTTGGTTAGGGCTCCCACTCCTTTATTCACTCGTGTTCTTGAAGATATCCTCATCAGGCTACTGAACGTATGGCCCTGTATGACTAACCATCCTGCGAGATGGGGACTTTTAGTACCACTGTTACCTTATTTACTCTTGTGTTGATGATATCATCATAATGCACCCAGAGTCTGCCAGTGCAGACTACTGATCACTCTGTATAACTAACCATCCTGTGTGATGGGGATTTTAGCATCACGTAGCTAGTTTTTGACACACCGTACTCCCCTTCATATAGTCTAGAGCAGCTCTACAAATGCAGATGTACCTAAATGTGTTAATTAAAAAAAAGGGTCCCACCTTCCACACACGCTCTAGAGTGCTAGAGTTATAGAACAAATTATCAAGAGAATAATAGAATAAGAATGGACGATTTATTTCACAAAGCTTCAACAGAATTAAAAGGTTGTCTGCCAAACGTACTAGAGTTTTATGGCAAGGGAAGATGGTGCTGTCTGAATCTTTCTTCCTGGACTGCAGGGAAGCTCTAGGCAATCTTCCACACAGGAGACTACTGGAAGCTTTCTGAACCAAGAGAAAACCTAAACACACAACAGGAAGGTAACACTGACTGATTGATGAAGATTAAGCCACCCAAGAAAGTAACACAACTGTTGTTTTTTATTCAGCTACTGGAACAAAATTTCCATGTAGCACGGGCTATGGTGAGCCCGCAGTGGACTTATGTGTAAGTATATCAGTTGAATATGCAACACGAAGACCCCCCCCCCCTCCCACCCTCTCAGTAAGACTCAAGATGTCTTAAGCAGTTGGCAAGTCACCATAACATGATGAGCAGCCAGCCATGAGGGGTAATTAAGCATGTGCAGTGCGGCAGGACAGGTGACAGGTGGCCTAGAATGAAGGTAGAGACAGTTTAACACCAGTGACAGTGGAAAATGTCAGGGGGAAGTGTGCTGACGAGGAAGACTGCCAAATCGTCTCCATATTTACTCCGGCACTTTTCACATTATCTCCCGGATCTAAAACGAGCACGTCTTTATACCACTGACTGCCTATAATTCATCAAAATTATAAGGTAATGCTTTATAGCATTTAGCATTTACAAATTCACAATAACGGCATTATGGAGGTTGGCAGTGAATACGAAGGTAACAATACCAGTGTTTACAAACTAACGCCGGTAATTTGGGTCTGTCATTCTCATTCTCATTCTCTCTCTCTCTCTCTCTCTCTCTCTCTCTCTCTCTCTCTCTCTCTCTCTCTCTCTCTCTCTCTCTCTCTCTCTCTCTCTTTCTCTCCTCTCTCTCTTTCTCTCCTCTCTCTCTCTCTCTCTCTCTCTCTCTCTCTCTCTCTCTCTCTCTCTCTCTCTCCTCTCTCTCTCTCTCCTCTCTCTCTCTCTCTCTCTCTCTCACTCTCCTCTCTCTCTCTCTCTCTCTCTCTCTCTCTCTCTCTCTCTCTCTCTCTCTCTCTCTCTCTCTCTCACCTTATGTTTCCTATCCGAGAGGTACCAGTTACACCAGCTTTAATTTTTGGAGTTTTGGGTCTCCCGTGTTGGGCGGTGTTGGACCCATTCTGAGACTCCAGGAACCCAAGGTGTGTGTGTGTGGAGTCTATTTGTTTTTGCATGGTTTGCGGAAGGAGGGGGGGGGGGAAAGTTGAGCGCTTAGGCTCTTTGGTCCCCGCCTCTCAACTGTTTAATGTGTGTGTGTGTGAAGGAAGTTCGTGTATATGTATATGTGTTTGTTTCTAAAGCCCACACACATACACAGAGCTAAGACAGAGACGACGATCGATCCCATGACAGATACACAATTCAATGTTACTATCTTCATTTAAGACTTCAAAAACCATTCGGGATTGTTACCTGAGCACTTCAGGGAGTGTTACCTGAGCACTTGGCCTGTTACCGGAGTAGCGGGCGGTGTTACAGGATTACGGGTGAGTGTCGCCGGTAATACTCAAGACTGTTTACCGGAGGACCGGGGGTGGGGGGTGTGGGGGAGCGTTACCAGAGTCGTAGGGATGAACGCTGCGAAGGGCCCAGTTCTGCTTGCACCACACCACCAGCATGTTACGGAAGATGTGTTCCAGACGCTGGCGCAGGCTCTCAGCCGCCGCTACTGCCCAACCATGGTTAATAACACTGTCAGCCGACCACACTATACATATATCTCTTCTCAGTATTTCAGTGTCACCCACACACAATATATCCACTCAGTATGTCCACAACACTCTCACCCTATCTGATATATCCTCCCTGAGTACATCAGCATATTGCTGAGCCTATAAATTGACATATCCGGCCCACCCAACACAGAGCTTATCACACTTGACAAATTGGGTCTCACCTGTATGTATTGCCATCATCGCCACTTGAGAGGTTTGGGAGGAAGGCGGAGCCTCTCTCTCTCTCTCTCTGTTGTGACAGAAAGATATTATCCTAAAGGAATGTTTTCTGTCGAGGTATTTGTTGGAGCGTTCATGTTAGCTCAAACTGCGTTCGTTGCATCCAGTATCTAGCCAGCGGATTCATTGTCTTTTGGGAAGGGTTATACAATATTATTTGGGCTTTCAGATGTAATACACCATACTTAGATCTGATATAAATTGTTGTGTTTTCTTTGTATTATCAGTAAAGAATGTATACTTTATTTTTTATAAATTTTGTTTCTGTCACTTTATTTTCAGGTGTCAGTTTGCCTGTTAAGGAAATATTCGAGTTTGCGAAATATTTTATGTAAATTGCTTTTCACAGATTCATTTTCTCACTATGCACAATTTCTGGGGAATTAAATATAATTCATAACTCTGATATCAAGGGATATCTTACAGTTCCGGGAATTATGAGAGACAGGCGTCACAAAATCTTAAAATTTCAACAAAACATGAATTTATAAAGTCCTTTTATCTTTCATGCACTAGACTCTGACTCAAAATACGCCACAGTGTCATACACAGTGTCATGC